TCTGTTAGCCCTAACACCCTCCTTTCTGGGGAGAGACCAAGGGCAGAGCAGATAATGGGTTTTAATTCCTCCTAAGTCCAAATATTTTCTGAGCTGCAAGGAAACACAAAGACAGAGCAGAGTTCTGTATCCCCATGGAGTGAAGATCCTTGGGGACAGATTTCTGAGCACAGCCTATTGCAAAAACATTCATTTCAATTTCAGACACTGAGCTTCTTCCTCTGTGATGGTCCCTTCTCACAGCCCTGCTGACCCTGAGGTATTGCACAGGTAACGAACCCAAGGGATGGAATATATCCCTGCTGTAGGTGAATGCACCAGCTAGAAAAACAGTATTATAATAGCAGGTCCCATCTCCCTGTGCTGCTGAGCACTGGCTATTCTGAGCCCTAAAGTCCCTAAAGTCAGGTACAGTTGACTCATGCTAGTGATTTCTCCAGCTTACATTGCCTTGCTGCAGCTCATCTGTGCATATTATTTCTGAAGCATGGGAATGTGACTGCCCTCTGAGTAGGGCTTCTCCTAGCTGTACTTGCATGAGACACTCTGACCAGAATCCTCTTCTGTCCATGGACCTGCAAGAGACTGTTTCAGCTAGACCCATGGGCCACATCTCACTCACAGTCTGAGAAACTAAGAAACCAGCTAAATTCATCCATATTCCCTCCATCTGAAGCCCACTTCTGAACAAGTCCATTATATTTTATGTTGATGTCACTCTTTCACTTTTGCCAAGAAAAACATTTTTCTACTTCAGATGTAGACATAGGATTTTGTGATTTAAATAAGCGCAGATGGCTGGTAAGACCCAAATTTTTGGAGGGCATTAGCTACCAGAGTCTTCCATGAACAAAAGAATAAAGCCTGGAAAGCAAGACACAAAGCAATTTAAGCAGATATTTCAAAGTTTTATTGTATAAATCTACAAAAGGCTTTGCTACAATAGCAAATATAGTATAGCACTAATCTGTTGACAGGTTCTAGTGGCTTGATGTGATCTTGTAACTCCAACATGACACATGAGGAATAAACTGTCTGATACAGTCAGATCTAGAGAAAGTGATGTTGGCTTACAAAGACCTTTGGCTTCAACCCCCATAACCTGTAGTAATTCAATGCATATGCCTTTTGTACAAGTTCATCTGAAGTAATAATATCTCTAGTAAAAATAAAAGCTCTAAAGTAGTTTTGTCAGAGTCAAATGTAAAATTACCTAAGGAAAAAAAAATATCCAGTGGCTGAAATCCACTAAAGTTTCACAGATACAACACATATACACTTCATTTGCAAGTCTCTGCCACAGGAGAGCAAACCAGTCCTCCCTGGAGAGTCTGGTAATATAAACTAGGGTGCTACAAGTAAGGCTCCAGTTTGTTAGGAGCAATAATTGAAATAAAACCAGTACAAGAGATCTAATTCTGCACACTCCAAAAAGTCAGCTTAAAATGTACAAACCTCAGGACCAGGTGATCAAGAAACTCAGGCAGGCTAAATAATTGAGAAAGCAGGAAGTCTATGGAAAAAAGAAAATGCCTATTCAGGCAGTCAGAACCTTTGAAAGGGTCTGTGAAAATTAAGCACCTCAAAATCAAATATTGTTACGATTCTGGGATGATGCCTCTGAAGTCCACCCTCACATTATTTCACAAATTTCTGGTCCTGGGCATTTTTTGCTGAGCATTGTTGGAATGCACATCAGATCCCATTGGCTTAGTTCTAATGCAAGAAAATACTGCAGAATTTGGTTGGGTGGATTTGATTGCTCAACACGCGTACACCCGCACCAACACGTGGGCACGCATACCCGGGGCAGTTGGCTCTGGAAGAGAGAGGTACCAACTGGACCTTAAACAGAGAAGTGAACCAAAATGGTCTTGCAAAAGAGGTTTGGTGCAACTCACTTGTACTGTTGGCATGCACCTTTACTCTCCCTGGGTCTGGATGGAAACAGTCACACCAAGGCCAGCACAAGCACACCAGCCCTTGCAGTAACTCCAGGCCATGCAGACCCAGGAAGTGCCTGCTGTCTCACGAGAGTGTCCATTCTGGCAAGACAGTTGGCCCAGATGTGCAGGCTCAAGCAGTTCAGCCAAGCATCTGGCCTCTGAGATGCTTCTCTGAACCCCAAGAGCTCTTTGAGGTTTGAAAACTGATACCCGCATGAAATGAAGCTACCCTCAACTCAGGAAAAATGAGTTACAGCATTGGCAGCATGGAGGGTTCATAGCCTACATATGGTCAGTCATTTGGTAAACCGAGAAAATGTTTTTAACTGACGATATAGTGAAAATTTCTTTAGATACTTCCCACTGGCACCAAATCGCAGAGGTATAACATCATCTCATCTGACAGTACAACTCCAGCATCCTTGCTGTCCTCAAAGCCCAGACTTGGTTCGTTTGCACTGCCTCTTGGTTTATCTTTTCACTCTCAGCTCTTTCTTCTATGCTTGGACTACTTGGATCAGCTCAGCCCTTTGGCAGCCTTTTCTTCACCCTGTTGGAAGTGGCTCGCTCTTTCGCTTCATCTCACAGCACCTCGAACATGGCCTTGTACTGCCTGCGCAGCTCTTCGGTGCACTCTTGGAACACAAAACTTTCTGCTCTGTCTTCCAGCAGCACTTAGTTCTTGAGAAAACAGGACACAGAGGAGGAAAGGAAGCAACAGCAACAGGAATGTCTGTAAAAGAAAAAAAATACAGCAGCTCAGTTTAGATTTTCAAAGTGGAGAGCACAGGATCTGAGATTATTATCTGCCCGTGAAGTGGATGGGGCCTGGTAAAAGCCATAGACATTCATAGAATCATAGAATCATAGAACGCTTAAGGTTGGAAGGGACCTCTAGAGGTCATCTAGTCCAACCCCCCTGCGCACACGCAGGGTCACCTAGAGCATGTGGCGCATTGCTGTCTAAGTGTTTCTCAATTTCTTGATTTCCTGCATCAAGCAGCTGAAATCCCACGTTTCCAAGTGGTGCTATCACCTTACCACTCAGTGATGAAGCTGAAGCCTCAAAACCAGCATGGCTTGCATCTGGGCTACACAGTGTCTCAGGTATGAACACCTGAGGACTTGCCACCCCTGGGGAGACTAAGGGCCACAGGCATGAGCTGAGAGGTAGTTAGTTACCTGTGCCAGTCTTTCCTTCAGAGAGAGGATCCGGCACCAGATGGCTGAAGACCCTGACATTAGGTCCATGATGCTTCGAAGCCTTTTTCCCTTTGATTCTCCTTCCGAGCCTTGAGCACCATGCAGGGACTTCTTCTCAGAGGAGGATCTGAGTGAGTCACTATAATGAAAAAGGATAATGCTTGTGATGCAAAGCCAGCTCATTCTCAGCAGTGACACCCACTCCTCCTCCACTGCTCATCCCAGGTCATCAATGAGAACTGCTCCCTTCTCTCTACAGATACAATTGTCTGCCAAACCAGCTCATTCTGAGCAAGTGAGAAGGGAGCCCTTGCTGTTCCCATCACTGACTCACTTCTAGGCAAAGTCACAGAGTAAACATGCTTCTCCTTTGGTCTCTGCATGGACCTCTGACACGCTGTCACAGCTGGGGACTCAAACCCAGAACTTTAGAGGCAGGTCTGAGATAGTGGAGAAGCTTCTCATTCTTTCCTATTAAATTAGTTAGAAATGATAATAGACAACAGAGATTCAGCCGCCTTGAGACAACTACACACTAAAATACAGTGTCTTTTTAGGCCAATTTCCTTATTTCCCATCCTTTATTCCTCTTTGGCTGACTCTCCCTTCTCCTTTCTCCCAAGCCCTGGTCTGTCACCTCAGTACGTTCTGCCCAGTTTCAGACCAATTTTTATCCTAGTATAAAGTTTCTACTGGATGAGCAAGGGCTAATTTTGGTCTGAGGAAAGCAGGGAGGGGAATATCAGAGAGTGGTCTTACCTTCAGCCTCTTGGAAGGAGGGATGTCGAAGGCCTTCTGAGCCATCGGTGCCGCATATCACTGCTGTTGTGGTGCCAGGAGCATTCTGAGAATACTCCAGGTGCTGCGTCCTGCCTATTCCCTTGTGGAGGTGTTCCCCTTTTGATCTGAAGGCGAATGCAGGTGATGCTCAAGATCTGTCAAGACTTGAGCTTTGAAGAGCCAAGCTTCCAATCTTTCTTATAGCAGCTTTGTCTCAGAGTCCTGTCATTAGGCGCTAGCCAACACAAGGTGAATGCTGAGCACTACCATCTCGACATGGAAAATGTCACAGGGCACAGCTCTTTCTCAAGCCATGGCAAAAGGCTTTTGCAGCAAGATTTTTTTGTGAGCAAACACAGTCCTCAGATGCTCCAGAACTGGGATGCCAGTCTTTCCAAGATTGTTTTGAGTCTGTCTGTGCCAGCAGGAACTCTTCTTTGTGTTGCACAAGCTGAGGTTGTGCTGGGACACGGAGTTCCTCTTTGAACTTCTTTTAGCTTTTCCATGGGAGTTCCTGCAGTCTCCACACGTCAGCATGGACACAATTTACTGCTCTGGGGATATTTTGCTCTTGATTTAGGATGTGTTTGGTTTTGATTCAAAGTGTAAGGATTTATTTCCCTTTCCTCCTCCCACCTTTCCAGAATAACCTTGGTGTCTCCTCTCTCCACCTTAACACCCTCCCTTCTCCCAGAGGAGTCAGGCTCCCCCTTCAATGATTTAGCTCAAAACTTAATTCGAAACTCCATTTCTTGCTGAATGCACAGTATCACATGCCAGAGAAAGAGCAGAGAGAGGGAGAAGTTTGCCTTAGCACTGGAGTGGCTTTGACTGCAGTGAGCAGAAGCTAAGGCAAGGAGCAAAAGCCTCTTGGGAGGAAAAACTTTAAAGCAGGTAGTTGCCTTGAAATGTAAAACAATTTAAAAAAATCCAGATCATTAAAGTTTTCATTTGCTGAAGTCCTAGGACTTTTTTTTTTTTTTTGAAAGTTTCTTTGGAGTGGGAGTTTGCCAAGATGCCAAGAAAGCAGAAGCCCCATAGTAGGTCAGAAATGAGTAAGGGTTAAAAAGAAAGATGTTCCTCTTTGGAGCAGGGACATCTATTTGCAAGAGGGAGTAGAGAAGGAGAAGGAGATATCCAGATGGGTAGGAACCCTCAGCCAATAGCTGCACTTGCATGAAATTTGAGAGCCACCAGTGCCAAGTGGCTCCCTCTCTGAAGTTGGGGATTGCCTCTAGTTTCTTTTCAGGGGTCTCATAAAATTGTCCATCCCCCACAGTGGTGCAAGCAGCATCCTTCGCACCACTGGATTGCATGGCTCAGGTAGGTGGGCAACCTCATCCTAAGGTGCCTCTTCCCTTTCGCCTCCCTCCCCCCACCATGCAAAGTTAATTCCTCTGCTGTGGTTGCCAGACTGAGCACACCTCATGTCTTACCACAGCCAGAATTGCCCTCCGAGGAGAAGCTTCCTAAATACGCCCCCTTCTCCCTTTTATATAACCAGAACAGCCGCCTTGGCCGGACAAGCTCATATGACAGTCGCTGGTGGGCTAGGGGGCTCAGGTTGTGTCCCATTGCTGGGCACAGGACTAGCAGTGGTGGAGGGTGGCAAGCTCTCCACAGAGTCCCCAGACTGAATCTCGGGTGTCCTTTGTGGGCTGGGCTCTTCAGAGTGTTCCATGTTGCCTTGAACTTCCTTCCCTCTTTGGATGAGCTGCTCTAAAGTTTTGGGCAAGGGGTAGCTCAGGAAGCGTTTCAGTTTGGGCTGAAGAGTGCCTACCACATACTGGATAATCTCCTCCTCATCTGCATCAACATAGAGAGTCTGGTACAGGTCTCTCTTGCGCCACAGGAACTGGTCCAGGGGCTCCCCCTCCTTCTGGGGCAAATCCAGCTCCCTTTTGATAGCGTCCCTAGTCAGAGTCCCCTCACTGTACTGCAGGAACTCCTTCTTGAACTCAACCCAGTTCTTCACAGAGTCCTGCTTGTACTCCCACCACTTTTTAGCTGGGCCATTCATGTGGTTTTGGATCTGAGAGAGCCAGTACTCCTCTGTTCCACCCACCTGCTTCAAGTATTCCTCCAAGTGGCTCAGGAACTCCCTGGGATCCTCAAAGACCTGAGTCTCCACCGGAGAGGTTGGAGCATCCTCTGACACAGAGACCCACTGGTAGGAATCATGGCCCTGGGGGATGCTGGGCACCTCCCCAGGTGGAGGGGTCAGCGCATACATTTGGCTCATATCAAGGGCATAGTCATAAATCTCCCCCTCATTTGGCCTTATCTCTGGGCCTCCCACCCCCACGGACACAGTCTGCTTGCCATGGTCCCCAGGGCAATATTTGCCTCCCATGGACTCCAGACGGTCCGCCCATTTCTCCAGACGGAAAAACACCTCCTTCCAAACATTCATCTCTCTCTTGACCCACCTCTCCAGGTGGGCAATGGTCTCCTGGCATCTGGCCAGGCAGGCCTTGATGGACTTCTTCCATCTTTGGTTGTCAGTTGGGACGTGGTCTTCTAAGTTGTTCTCCAACTTCCCCACTGATTTCTGCAAGCCTTTCAGCTCGCGCTCCACCTGCTTGGAGACCTCGGTCAGGAGGTGCCGGTGGGTCCTCCTGACATGCTCCAACATCTCTGCCCTGCATTTCCCTATCTGCAGGATCACATTGGGCTTGTTGGCAACTCCGCGGTGCCCCTGGAAGGAGTGGATGCCAGCGTTGGTGACATTATCCAGCTGCATGGCTCCTACCGCACAAGCGTCAAACACGGAAAGAACTGGACTGTATGCCCTTGCTCCCAAGCCCGCTCTCTAAAACCCCACCACAACACTTCTCAAAAGATGCACAAAGACTTCCAAACCCCCCTCCAAGGACTTTTCAACACAAACACAACCGAATCAGATATCACCGCAGAGCAAGCTGTTAGTCCTCGTGAATCTCGAAGAGAGTTGTAGGCAGATTCCTCCCGGTGTCCAGCTGGAAATGCCGGTGTCACGTGCTCAGTGTGTCCCAGAAATAGGCAGAATTCTCCAGGAATGAGGAGAGGAGCTGGCTAAGGCATCCAGTCCCGAAAGCGTGCCTGCTACCTGCTCATTCGAAGCAGAGAATCTCCAACTGCTGAAATCTCCTTGCTCCGATGAAATACAAATGCTAGAAGCTGCAGCTAAAATCCCATCAGTTTCTTCCCTAGCAAGCTTGAAGAGCTGCTTTTGCTAGAGATGCAAAGAGCTGCTTTCATCCCCTGCCTGAACTGCCACTAGTCCAGGCACTTCCATCTACTTATACCCCACGCAGCTCAACATGTGGGTGGTGCCCTGCCTCCTCCGGCACGCTCTGCGCTGCGATCATTGGAGGAAAAAGCGAGGACTGGTGTCTGTGGCAACCCAGATCTTGGCAGCCTCCCCTCGCTTCCCACCCCCTCCCGCACGCCCCCAGACTCGACGCGAGAAAGCACTTGAAAGGTGCTGGAGACAGTTGGGTAGATGGATGAGTAATCGCACCTTCCGCCTTTCAGAGTGCAGGGAATGGGGGGGGAGCGGGGGGAAGCACTTATTCATTCCACAACTATTTACTCAACAAGGTCATCATTAGCACACTTTCCCCTGGCAGGGCTCACAGAGGGGAAGATGGGGATGGATTCAGCGTGTCACACTGAGTCGCCCACAGGCCCCCACACACCTGCACACAGAGAGCCACTCACTCCTAATGCAAACACTGGGGAAAAATGAAAGGAAATGCAGTGCATGGAAAAAAAAAAAAAAAGGAGGGGGGAGAGGAAATCACTCTAAAAAAGCCATTTCAGTACAACCTGGAGCACTTCAGATCTGCTAAAGCATTAGTAGATGGGAGTCATCCCTGCTGCTTAATTATTACACTGGGCCAACCGCTATCTTGGGAATATTTGTGAGGAGGGGGGGAGGAGGGAGGGATTGCATCCAGGTTTTTACACCAAATTAAATCCACCCATCCGAAGTCTGTTCCGTACTAGGCTTGAATCAGATGCTTAATCAGTTAGCCAACCCACAAACGCAAATGAAGCTGCATTTGTTCTCCGCTTTTGACAAAGCAGGAAAAGCCAACCATAAAAGGAGACCGGGGGATTATATAAGCCGCAGATAAAGGATTCCCTAATCAGAGAGAGAGTTCCCTGCCGGAACCTCCCTCAGAGAGACGCTGAGGATGCTGAGGATGCCGGGTGCTTCTTCTCTCCTCCCAATACAGTGACCAGGAATGATGGGATGCTGACCCATGAATATTAGCCACCAAGGGGCTTCAAGCCCATTGCCAGCAAGGAGGTGTCTTGCCTCCACTTGGGGTGGTTGGCAACATGCCAGGAAGGCTTTGAATGGGTCCCCACTCCCATTACTCCTTGCCGGGTGTTTCCTGGTGTGAATCAGGAACAAAGTGTGGAGCGGGGAGGGGGTTGTTTTTGCAATGAGCACTGCTCAAAGGAGGTCCTTGCCAACCACAGTATGAGATCAAAGCACCCTTATAGCAAACTGGCAGGGGTTAAACTGATGGGTTAAAAGCAAAGCAGGAGGGAAAGGGGTCAGGACACCTTCTCCCCACTTGCCCTTCCTCATTAATGTGCTCCAGGAGGACACAGGTCTGCTCCCTACCAGGTGACCTGGCACCTGCACATGGTCAAGCAGTTTTGCCATATGGCTGCCGGGAAAATGGAAGGACTATCTGGGGCAACAGAGAGCTAGCAGAAGGCTGGTGCAGTTTGGCTGAAAGAAGGGAGTGCCAATGAGAAAAGAAAGGGACAACATTTTGAGGATGGGAACTCATTTCAACGGATCTTCCCAGCACACAGACATCTCACTAAGCATTTGGATGATGGAGAGCTCTATGCCATTTGCCCTGCTTAATTTTTCCACCTTCACCCAGCATGAGGTTTCTTTTGAGCATGACGTTTTTGTGCTTGCCTGCTTGTGCTTAGAAGGGGTCAAATGTGGTTCATCCAGGGGTTTTGGAGCCTTTCAGACTGTGGTTGCTATACCCCAGACACCTTGAAACCTCCTGTGTATGTAAAAGGTCCCATGTGCTGGGTGAGAGTGTGCAATTCGTGTATCTCTAAAGCAATGCAAAATTTTCTTCCAAAATGATTTTCACCAAGGATCCCTAGAAATTGCCCTTCATGAGATTGCCAATTAATGGGGACGAGTTATAAACTGGATGTAGCTTTGCAGGGTGATGCGTTTTCAGTTTCACCTTATCCCATCAAATGGCAGAGCCTAGGATGAATTGGCTGCAAAACCTACTCCACTACTCCTGGCTCTTCCCCACCTCTGCTACATGCCTTTTCTTCTCCCTTAGTTTCCACAGCTGGGGATTCATCAGGGTCTGGATCTCAGAATTTGATACTTAGATCTAGTCATAGGATCATGGGATAAGGCTGGAAGACACCTCAACAGGTCTCTAACTCAACCACCTTCTCCAAGTAGTGACAGCTATGAGGTCAAAAAAAACTGTTTTTTACAGTTTTACCATATCAGATTTTGAAAACCCCAAGGACGGAGGCTACATAACCTCTCTGGGCTGGACCTCAGCACCTGCTCACAGGACAAGTGCTTCAGCTTCAGCCATCTTGGTAATCCTCTGTTGAACCAGTTGATCAAAGTCTCTCATTGGGGGACCTGGATCACAGGATCAAGAAGTAGTCTAAGTGCTGAGTAGGGGGGTTGCATAATGGCTCCCTTTGTTCTTTTGGCTGGTCTTCTGTGCATACAGCCCCAGGATATTTTATTTACTTCCAGGGCTGGCCACTGGCTCATTCTCAACTCACCTTCCCCCCTCCTGGACTCCTTGCATTTTTTTGGCATCCCTGTCAGTTAACCTCAGTCTCTATCTGGGGCTCTTTCTTCTCAGGCACAGGACTTTGCATTTGTCCTTGTTGAATTTCATAAGGTTCCTTTAACCTTTCTCACAGCCTGTCTCCAATCTTCATCTTTTTCATCCAGTTCTCCTGATCTGTGCACTTTTCCTTGGAGGTGGGGGCGGGAGCAGGAAAAGGGAGAGGGAAACTGGGGCTTTCCTTCGGGGGAGATCTTCTCAATTAAGACCTAGTGATAATCATTTGCATCGTATTTCTAATTAAAGGAAACTGTGTGGGTGGAGGAGGAGGGGGGGAGGTGGAAATGAAGGGAGGAGGGAGAAATAGAGCACTCAGAGAGACAGACTGAAGCAGGCAAATGAGATATGGGCACAGACAGACAGATATGAAGGGAGAAGACAAACAGATTTCTGTTTAAATTAGCTGCCTGGCCTCAGATGAACCAATAATGACATGGGCATAAGCAGGACACTTGGGGTGCTTTGGGTGACCCCAGGGTGCTTGAGATGAGAAGAGGGGTATGAAGAGCAGAAACAGCATAAGGAAGGAGAAAAATGAGCAATGTTCAGGGGCATTTTCCTCCAAAATAGCTTTTGGAGGAAAAAAAAAAAAAAAGAGAGAGAGAGAAAAAATGAGCAAAAATTATATCTCATAGCTCAGCAGGGATGATGTCAATGTGGGTTGTCTTCCTAGAGCTTCCTGAATGGTATAAAGGCACTGGAGATTAGGATCAGGCCCAAAACATGAGAAAAGAGAAAGAAGAACCAACAGAATAATTGCAGGTATGTGAGGCAGCAAGGAGGGGCAGAAAACCCTTTTGTGGGGAGGGGAACAGGGCTGATGTGTCCCTCAGGACACCCCACCAGACTGGAGCCCAGAGGTACTCACTCCTCACAGGGTGACAGCTTTCAGCAAGCCTCACTTTGGGTCTAGTTGACCCATCTAGGTAGGGGTTTTGTCTTAGCAATGCAGATCTGTGCCATGGCAGGACCTCCAGGACCCCATGGCATGCTGCTCCTGGGTCTGAGCTGCGAGCCATCAGCCAGATGAAACTAGTGAGGGACCAAGAAGGAAGGATCCCGAGGCATGGGGAGATCCATGGTGCAGCTGAGTTGGACCCTCTTTTGGTGTCTCAGCCTAATGATAGGCAAGTTATTCACCCAAATGTGCATAATGTTGCTTCTTGATGCACTCTTCAGAGTTATCCATCCTTCACCCTAGACAACACAAACAGCCTAAAGTTAGAAGTCTTCAGGCACATGTGCAATTAACCCCATGCCCTTGCAAGGGTTCTTTTTTTTTTTTCCCCCAATTATGAGTAAGGACTTGCTGGATTGTAAATCTGATGTGCCAGCAAAAATCTGTCTAGAATTTTCCTTTTTGCATGCATAAATACTTTTTCCTTCTAGAAATAAATGGAAAAACAAAATTGAGGAGAAAAAAAGAAAGAAAGAAACAACTCAACCCTCCCCTCCACCTCCATATCCTTTCAATCCTTCCAGATTTTCTTATAGGTTACCACAGAGAGCCGGCCAGCCATTTGTTTTCTGGTAGCAAAACCTTTGAGAAAAGGAAGAAAATAAAGGGGAAAAAAGGTATTAGGCTTTATTTCTATTTTTTCTGTAAAAAAAAAATAAAAGTAATGCTAACCATAATAACCTGTTTAATTTACACTGTAAGTCTCCATTGAAACGTCCCCAGCCCTGGAACACTTTATCCCGTAGGATCTGCCACTCACATGGCAGAGCCCAGCACTCACGTCAGCAGCTGCATTGTTCCAAACGGCGCCAAGTGGTCACCCATTGTGCTCCACCACCAGAGCCCCCACGTCACATGGCGACAGGGCGGGCAAGCAAGCGGGGAGGTATGGGCAGCCCACTATCAACATTAATAATGAGCATAATCATCATAATTATCATTAACGATACTCCTTTTGGAGCTGAGGAGCCTGCAAGGTCTCTCTCTCTTTTTTCCCTCTGCCTTCCTTTGTGGAGAAGATAAAATGCCTTGTTTGAGACTTAAAAAGATATCTTCTTTCTTTTTCCTTTATTTTTTTCCTGTTATGTAAAATGTAATATGTTATTTGATATTTCTGGCTCCTCAGCAGGCAGGTGAGATGTTAATGAGTGCCTGCTTGTGCAGTGCTTGCCTCCTTAAGCCTGCCTGGGGCTAAATGCTGGAAGTTGAAGGATTCATTAATATTACGGCTCATTTT